AGCCAGCTTCAAATCTGAGAGCAGAACTTAAGCAATAGCTGTTACCTCATAAGCCACCTTGCTCTCCAGGCATTTCCTAAAAAAAATAAAAAATAGAGCCGATTCCAGAAGGGAAAGTCGAGAGAAAAAGAGCTTGCTTGTACAGGTATTCCTCGACTTAAGACCACCCTTGAGCCCATAATTTCCGTTGCCGCTAAGCGAAACATGGGTTAAGTGAGTTTTGCCCCATTTTACCACTTTTTCTTGCCCCGGTTGCTAAGTGAATCACTGCAGTTGTTAAGTTAGTAACATGGCTATTAAGTGAATCCGGCTTCTCCGATTGACTTTGCATGTCAGGAAGGTTGCAAAAGGTGGATTACACGTCCCTGGGATACTGCAACCATCATAAATATGAATCCGTTGCCAAGCTGACTTTAGAATGTTGATCATGTGGCCTTGAGGGATACCGCAGTGGTCGTAAGTGTGAAAAATGGTCGTAAGTCACTTTTTTGAGTGCCGTTGTAACGGTCCCTAAGCAAAGTGTTGTAAGCTTGCCTTCGGAAGTTGTGTAGGAGCTTCACCACTTGAGACTTTCAACAAGAGATTGGATTATTTGTCAGAAATGGTGTAGAGTCTCCTGCTTGGGCAGGGGGTTGGACTAGATGACCTACAAGGTCCCTTCCAACTCTGTTAATCTGCTCAATACGTTAAAGTTCAAGGACTCCCTGTATTTGAAAGAGACGCGCATCGCCAGAGAGCAGGCCCCACCACTAAGAAGGCCCCATGGTTTTTTTCCTTTGCTAGTTCCAACCTAGGAAAAAGCGAGGCCTCCCTGCATAAGCTGAATTTTGTAAAGGACGAGAGGCGTTTCTTTAACTAACGGGTCCAAGAATGGGGGGGGGGGGGGTCTGCTTTTCTACTAGAAGCCAAGCTCCATTGAACATGTCCTGTACTGTGGTGGGCCAGTCTGGAGAGTGGGATTTCTTTTGTCTTCCTTTTTGTTCTGTCTCATTCCCCCCCCCCTTCTTTTTCCTTGTTCTTTCCTCCTCGTTTTTTTTTCTTCCTCCACTTCAGAAGAGACAGTCACCTTTAGCAAAGTTCTGAGCTGTTCATTTGCAAAAGGCTCTCCCCTGCCCCACAGGTTTCCCCCCTTTTCTGTCCTTTTCCACTGCCCCCTGCTGCTCCCCCCCCCCTTCCTGCCGGATGTGTGAATTGATCACTTGCAGAAGACTTTCTCTCCCTTGGCCCCCTCCCCAGTCTTCTTCCCTGGCTGGTGCAGACCTTGGAGGGAGGGGGGGGGGCTATTGAGTCCCCACCCCCACCCGCCCATGACCTGTGCTCCCCAGCCTTTTCAGAAACCTCCTGTTCTCTCAAGTTAGTTCTCCTTTTCCTTTCTTGTTCTTTCCATCAAGGCTTGTCTGGGGAACAAGGCCTAATGTTAATGAAAAAAATAGCCCTAACAAGCTAAATTTGCACCAAGCCTCCCTTTTGAGTTCGTGTTCCTGATCCTTCAGTGGGAAGGCCAGAAAAAAGTATCCAGGTTCATCTGTCGCGGAGGAAAACAGGAGTTTGCAGCCTCTTCAAATATAGTATGTCACAAGGTTTTGTGGGGCGCCATTCCCTGGAACAAAAATCATGGGGCAGAGAACTTGTCCTGTAACGTTTTTAGGGTGCTAGAAGATGTTCATTACAGGTAGTGACGGTTGTACTTAGGAACCAGGTGCCAGGCACCTGAATTTTGATCACATGACCTGCAAAGGGGATGCTGCAAAGGTGGTAACTGTGAACAACGGTCAGAAGTCACATTTTTCAGTGCCGGTGTAATTTTGAACGGTCAGCAAGTCGAGGACTGCCTGGAATACAATCTAAAAATGAAGCAATGTATTTTTAAAAAATCCATGAAAGAGAACTCAAACTCCCTTCCCTGTGTTTGATATACACTGCTCAGCTGATTATTATTATTATCTCTTTTATTCATTAAACATGAAACTCAGTCAACTGAACATTTAAAAATGTATCATGAATATCATTGACTGGTGCTGATGGTTGATACGGGTAGTTGCCAACATCCTAGATATCTGCCAAGTATCTTCTTAAAATATACGATGTTTTGAGTAGTGCAGTTTTTTGTAGTTCTGCTGATGTTATTGCAAGAAACTGCAATTTCTCCTCCTCCTCCCTATTATTATTATTATTATTATTATTATTATTATTATTATTATTATTATTATTATTATTATTTCGATTTGTATCATATGATTTGTGTTATTTATTCAATTTGCATGATGAATAATTTACGGGTCAGCAATGGTAAATAAAAATAGTTTTTGTCCCTTACCTGATGAAAGAGAACCTCCCACTCTTTTTTAACACCCAACTTAAAAGTCAAGCAGTTACTCTCTCTCTTATAGATTTACTGCTCTGCACTTCTCTTCGTTTCCTTGGCTGGACATGGTAGTGCCCCATTTGATAAAGAGAATTTCCTTTGTGGCCCTGCTTGCATTTTCAACCCTCTCACTGTGATAGGCTCACTCCAATTCCCTGCTGTCCTGCATCCATGGTTTTAATGCGGCCGTCTGGATTTTAAGTAAGAATAGTCCTATCCCTCCCCTCATATTTAAAAACTGAAAATAGATTCTGCAGATTCTCTTATTTTTTTGGAGGGGGGGAGGGGAAGTGCAGAGAAGAGCAACTAGGATGATTTCGACTAAATCATACGAAGAACGGTTGCAGGAACTGGGTATGGCTAGTCTAGAGAAAAGAAGGACTGGGGTGACAGGATAGCAGTATTCCAGTATTTGAGAAGAAGGAGTCAGCTTATTTTCCAAAGCACCAGGAAGCAAGACAAGAAACAACGGCTGGACACTAATCAAAGAGAGAAGCAACCTGGAATTAAGGAGAAACTTCCAAACAGTGAGGACAATCAACCAGTGGAACAGCTTGCCACCAGAAGTTGTGGGTGCTTCATCACTGGAGGTTTTTAAGAAGAGACTGGACAGCCACTTGTCTCAAATTGGATAAGGTCTCCTGTTTGAATGGGGGGGGGGGGTTGGACTAGAACAGGGGTCTCCAACCTTGGCAACTTGAAGACTTGTGGACTTCAACTCCCAGAATTCCTTAGCCAGCAAAGGTTGGAGACCCCTGGACTAAAATACCTCCACGGGCCCTTCAGCTCTATTCTGATTGATTGAAGTTACCAGCTGCATAAGGACAGGTAACCAAAATGATGCTTTGCTTTGAAACTGGGCTAGAAGAAGGACCACCTGAAATGTTAAGCAGCTTGCCCATAGATGAGTGCAAGCCAACAGGCCTTCCTGTTTGTGGGACAGAAAGTTGCCCAGCCCTAGGATATGATCCCTGTCTTGGGGTTTTAAAACTCCAGATCATTTGGAGATGGAAATTGGCTTTATTTATTCCAATCCAGATATTCACTGGGACAAAAACAGCGAGCAAAGCTGGCGTGTTTGTGTGTTTGACCGAGGCAAAATGCTGATAAAGGTCAAGGATGTAAAGTGTCTGGACTCTCAAAGTGAGGAGGCGAAGATCTCACGTTGCCATCTTTGCAATTTTCAGTTGCTTTGAAGCTCTCTGAAGCTGTTAACGTTAATTTTCAACCACATTTTTGGAAAAAGCATAATAACTTACAGATGCCTAGTGTTCTATTTGACCTTGCTTCAAGACTGTGGACACTTTGGAAGTGATTTGAGAGAAGTTTCAAGCCTTCTACTAGCACAGCTCTTCCTGCTTTGCCTTTTTACATTTCCACGCAGATTTAAAAGCAAAGCAATTCTTTCTGGATTGATTTATGTAACTCTTAAAGCAAGCCACAATGTTTTTTCAGGTTCCAGCAAGGGAGTGGCCCAAGCTGAATGAGAGTGCATTTCCCTTGCTTGTAGAACATAAGGGGCTAACCCAGATGATATTGAAGTACTGGGGGAAAAGTTTTCCCCTTAGACCTCAGATTTTCTCGCAAGACAGAAAGTATTCGATTAGATCCGTGTTTCTCAACCTCGGTCATGGCTGGCTGGGGAATTCTGGGAGTTGAAGTCCACACATCTCAAATCTGCCAAGGTCGAGAAAGTGCTGGAATAGATAGGCAAACTGACCAGGTTCAGACATTGGACGTGCTCTTACCGTGATTTCATTTGGGCTTCGGGCTGAAAACGTTTTATGGAAAGGAAGCCACTGCAGTTTTAAACCATGGTTTGGGTTTTTGCCTACAATGGAAACTTAGAAATAGTTTGAGGAACAGATGTGCTTCCTGTTTTTCAATGGCTGTACTCTAAAATGCAAGCTTATTTGAAGCAATATTTCCTTATTAGCTCTTCCTTATTAATTCAGGAACATGAGGGAGAAATAGGAGCACTTTGGGCTCCTAAATGTACCCCTTACACATTGAAAGTACACTGTATACCTTGTATGTATACCTTACCCATTGATGGTGCATTGATATGGTGATCTTAAATATTCACAGACTGAGAAATTCTGTTTCATTTTATGATAAAAACAAGAGGGGCTCAGAGGCACATTCGTCACAAGTCTGTTTACTGGGCAGTGAAAAGTCATTTTTGCTTCTGTGTTTTTAAAAAGTAAAATCATTTTTGAATCGAGTTCAAATCCTAATAATTTTGTGGCAGCCGTATGGAAAGAGCTCCTTTGGAATGGAGAGTTTAATCTGAACTGGGATATTGGGATGCCCAATTAATCTAACATTCCAACACAAGGTATGCAAATATTCGGAACTTTTCACAAAACCTGCTTAATTTTATTAAACATTAGAACAAAACAGGGCAGAGAAACAAGCACATATAACTTCTTTTTCTCCTTTTGCCTGAACAGCATTTGAGAAAAATAAAGGACTTTTTTTAAAAAAAGTTTTTTTTGGGGGGGGGAATTCAGAGTGGGCTGATTTTGAAATGGTTGAAATAATGGAGAGGTCAGTACCGTAAACAAGACATATTTTTTTTCTCTCCCTCTACAGGTAGTCTTCAGCTTACAGCTACAATTGGGACTGGAAGTTCTGTCACTAAGCGATGTGGTCATTAAGTGAGTTGTGCCCAATTTTATGACTTTTTTTTTTTTTTTTGCTGTGGTTATTAAGTCAGTTTTGATTTCCTCCATTGAGACCCCTTGTCAGAAATCATTTGGCATACTGCAACTGTCCTAAATACATGTCGATTGCCAAGTGTCTGAATTTTTATCATATGACCGTGGGGGACGCTGAGACAGTCGTAAGTGCGAGGACTGGGTGTAAGTCCTTTTTTTTTTTTTTCAGCACCATCGTAACTTTGAATGATTGTTAAAGGAATGATCGTAAGGGGAGGACTATTTGTATTGTGATATCGTGGCTCTCAGAATGTGTAGCCCCTCCTGCTAATTTAGTGGGAATGCTTTTCCTGCAGGTGCACTCAAAATGTGGGCCTCTCTGCATGGGTACACACCTACACAAACCAAATACATGAGGCTTAAAATGATGTTGTAAGTATCAGGTTCTTGGGGGGGAAATATGGTAGGCAGGAAAGCAGAAAGGGCTATCAAAATTATTCACTTCATCCTGCTGTACTTAGTTGCAGTGCCTGAACGTAATTAGATGCTTGCACCAAAGAAGACTTAAGTGTCCTGAGGATGGACAGCATGTTGCCGTTTGTGCAACCTATAGAAGAAGAAGAATGCCAGAGACCGTCTTAAAAGCCCCCACCCCCAAAATCTGAAACATTCATAATCCCGCAACATTTGAAAGATAGTTTTATTTTGAATGCGTTAAAGTGCCATTATTATTTTAAAATCTTCCCGTTCTTTTAAAAAAAAAAATATGGAGCCCTGTGAAGTTTGAGGCCATGATCTCACAATTAAAAAGGAAGGAATAAAGGAAGAGGAAATGTGTAGCCTGCCACATGCAACTTCTTAATAACCAAGTTGGAAGGGACCTTGGAGGTCTTCTAGTCCAACCCACTGCTCAAGCAAGAAACCCTATAGCAGTTCAGATAAATGGTTGTCCAGCCTCTTAAAAACCTCCAGGCTTGGAGCACCCATAACTTCTGAAGGCAAGCTGTTCCATTGATTAATTGTTCTTATTGTCAGGAAACCTCTTAGTACTAGGTTGCTTCTCTCCTTCATTAGTTTCCATCCCTTCCTGTCCTGCCTTCAGATGCTATGGAGAATAGATTGACCCCCCCTCTTCTTTGTGGCTGCCCCTTAGATATTGAAACACAAAAACACTCTTATATCTTTATAATGGAAACAGGTGATGCAAGGTACTATTTGCAAGCAGGACTTGTATGTTGAGCTCTTGAACTCTTAGGTTCTACCTCCATGCTGGTTGCCTATGAAGCCCAAATGACCCATAACTGCTTAACAGAAAGTTGGACAATTACGGCCCTTTTACAACCGGTAGACTTCTACTCCCAGAATTCTTGAGCTCAGGAATTCTGGGAGTTGAAGTCCACAGGTCGTAAAGGGGGCTATAATTGCCCACCCCTGGCTTAATGTTAATTTGGGATTACTCTTACGATGTTATCGATGTTTGTGAGTAATGCGTGGGCTTTTCTGCTTTTTTCTCCATGACTTCACTGGCCCAGATAGGCAAAAGAATAAGAAAAAAAAAAAAAGGAAGATTCACAAAGTTGGGTGTGTGGAATTGGTCACCATTCAAGCTAGAGTGAGATCTCCACTGGGTTCGTTTACTTATGAAAAGCAGTAAAAGGAAGAACCTTTAGTACAAGATCGTTTCTCCCCCATCAGATCCCTAGATCACTTATTTCCTTTTGCAATCCTTATGACGTGCCTGTGCGAGAAAATTTCCATGTTATCCTGCTACACATTTCAAACGGTTAGACAACTTTGCCTGTTCTGAAATAGAATAACCATCGAGCTGATAATTCAGCACTTTCCTTAATTGTCTGGAGTCTCGTGAAAGCTGTATCATTTGATCAGAAGTGGCTAATTTGTACGCAAAAACCCACAACCACAATCCTTGTGCAAGGGCGTATTGTCTTATTTTAATTTTTTTAAGTAGTGTACTGTAGAACGTAGCTGGACTCGCTGTTTTCCCAACTGGAAATAAGAAAAGACGAAATCCTTGGGCTCTTGAGAGGTCTGAGAAGCTAAGCCAGCAGCAATTTGAGTGACTGAAATACAGGTAGTCCTTGACTTACAACCACAACTGAGCCCAAAATTTATGTTGGTAAGTGAAACCTTCATTAGGTGAATTTTGCTGCATTTTACAACTTTTCTTGCCACTGTTGTTAAGCGAATCAATACTGCTATTGAGCCTGGTTTCACCCAGTCTATATGTGTACTTTTGGTCTTTCTTGCCTAAAGTCCTGGGTGAAACCAGGCTCAATAGCAGGAACTGTGAGACGGATCTTGGAGTCTTAGTGGACAACCAGCTAAATAGGAGCCAGCAGTGTGCAGAAAGCCGCCAAAAAAGGTAATGCAATCCTAAATTGCATTAACAGACGGATACAGTCAAGATCAAGTGAGGTACTAATACCACTCTATAAAGCCTTAGTAAGACCACACCTAGAGTACTGCATCCAGTTTTGGTCACCACACTATAAAAAAGATGTTGAGAGTCTAGAAAAAGTACAGAGAAGAGCAACCAGGATGGTTAAGGGACTGGAGGCTAAAACGTACAATGAACAGTTACAGGAACTGGGCTTGGCTAGTCTAGGGAAGAGAAGGACCAGGGGAGACATGATAGCAGTCTTCCAATATTTGAGGGGCTGCCACAGAGAGGAAGGGATCAAGCTATTTCCTGAAGCACCCGAAGGCCAGACAAGGAATAATGGATGGTAACTGAACAAGGAGAGAGATTCAACCTGGAAATAAGGAGGAACTTTCTGACAGTGAGAACAATCAACCCATGGAACAGCTTGCCCTCGGAAGTTGTGGGATCCAGTTGTGCCATCACTGGAGACTTTCAAGAAGAGATTGGACTGCCATTTGTCAGAAATGGCGTAGGGTCTCCCGCTTGGGCGGGGGTTGGACTAGATGACCTATAAGGTCCCTTCCAATTCTGATTATCTATTATCTGAATCATTGCAATTGTTTAACTTAGTAGCAGGGTTGTTAAAGTGGATCTGGCTGTCCCCTTGTCAGAAGGTCGCAAAAGCGAATCACAACCCCAGGGACCGTACAATCGCCATGAATATGAACCACTTGCCAAGAATCTGAATTTTGATCATATGACCATGGGGAATGCTGCAACAGTCATAAGTGTGAAAAACGGACATAGGTTACTTTTTCAGTGCCGTTGTAACTTTGAAAGGTTGCTAAATGAACTGTTGTAAGTCGAGGATTACCCGTAGTGGGATCACTGTGCTTATAGAATCACACGGGCTTAAACAGAACCAGGATGCGTAGTTCTTACGATGCTTTGATGAAATTCACCTTTCTCTGCATTAGACACTTCAAGCAAACAGCGCATGGTTAACAGCATATCTCAATCCCTTCTTTTCTTGCCTTCTTTTCTGCAAGATTGGCTCAACAAGGACTCGGTGTATGCGAGGCATGTTATCCCGCAAGTCAAATATGATTTCTAGGATAAATTCATAAAACAGGGCTATTTTTCAAGAACCTTAAACTTTTGTGCCAAACCTCTTTGAAAGCTTCTCAGAAAAGCATGTTTCAGTGAATAATTAAAAAAAAAAAGGATTATATTACAAAGGAAACCAATTATGCTCAAATACGGTCATCAAAATATTAATGGATTATATGGATATTATGTACAAAAGAACCTTTGAAATGCAAATTGTTGACTGTATACATTGCACACTTTCCAGCGGGAAAAGGTATTTTATTGTAACTAAGTGTGTTTTGGTTTCGGGTTTTGTTTTTTTAAAATCTTAATAATTTTAGGTGGTGAGATTTATTGAAATTAACGATTTTTGGAGTCCAGAGACCACAAATTACTTACTTGCTTACATGCAGGGGTGGGTTTCTACTGGTTCTGTCCACCTCTGTAGAACCGGTAGCTCTGAAGAACAGCAGACATAGAACCGGTTCTATGTCTGCTGAGGTTTTTCCCACCCGCCCATCTGGGCACAGCTGCAGTTAAAAAAGCAGGAAAAGAGGGCTGTTTCAAAGGCTGCTTCTCTGCACGCAACATGTTGATGACAATTTACAGGCATGCAAGCGCAGAGGGAAGCACATCATAAATCACTGAACCTCATAAATCATCGAACTGATAGTTAACCCTGTCATATCCCACCCATGCTTACATGCATTATTGAATGAAAAGCTACGTTTTAGTTAGACGTTAATAAAAAAATAAAGTTGTAATAATTTTTCTAATCTAGGTTCACAAACCTCCAGAGACCTGCTCAGAGACTGTCAATGGGGTTTTGGAATCCAGAGTAAGAATCCCTACTACAGGTAATCCTCAATGTACGGCCACAATCAAGCTCAACATTTCTGTTGCTGAGTGAGACAGCTATTAAGTACATTTTTGCCCTCTTTTGCCTTTCCTGCCATAGTTGTTAAGTGAATCACTGCAGTTCTTAAGTTAGTAACACGGTTGTTAAGTGAAGCTGACTTCCCTTGTCAGGAGGTCACAAAAGGAGATCACGTGATCCCAGGATTCTGTTAATCATCGTAAATACATGCCAGTTGCCAAGCGCCCAAATTTTGATCACGTGATAAGCAAAGTCAATAAGGAATCCATATTCCCTCAACAACCGTGTTACTAACTCAACAACTGCAGTGATTCATCTTAACTGCAGCAGAAAAGGTCACAAAATGGGGCAAAACTGTTCAGAGTATTGCAGCGTAAACTCAGCGCCAGAAAAGTGAACACAGATGGCTGAGGCTTCATTTAACTTCTTTATAAACATATAAAGTAAATTTTACAATACCAGTTGTAGATTTTTCCCACATGGAGCAAAGTCAAACAGAAGCAGACATGTTACAGGTTCAGAGCAGAATAGCAACTCAGGAGCTCAGAAACACATCAGTTTCACTTTAATTCAGCAGGACACACAGCAGAGGAGAGAAGCAGTTTCGTTTTCAATAGACAGACTCAGAGCTTAATATAGAGCCACGCCTAGGCTACTTCTAGTTTCAGTTTCCTAACAGTCTTCATTGGCTGACTTAGTTGCTATGCTTATTCATTGGCTGACCTTGTTATCATGCTGTATTCCTGTTCATGAATATACTCTGACAAAAACTTACTTAGTGTCTTGCTAAGCATAAGAAGTGTTGGGTTGAATTGTGGTCGTAAGTCCAGGACTTACCAATATGTGACTGCAGGGCTGGGGTGCTTGAATGTGGATTATAAGTCCCTTTTTCAGGCTCCATCCTAACTTTGAACAGTCGCTGAAACCGGTCGTAAGTCAAGGAGTAACTGTAGTAACTCTTGTTTCATTCATTTGCAGCAGAGTTTTCCAAAAAACAGGCTACCTCCACAAAATTAGGCTGCCTAATAGACCCTTAATTCTGTTTTTAGCCTTCCTAAATGTTATATATTTGCCACTGTTGAGGCAAAGTCAAGGAAACTCCATGGTGCTAAGTAAATAGCTGTTATTTATGAACAAAAGGAAGAAACGTGCATTATAAATGCTGGGGGAGATTAGAATTAGTGAATTTAACCACTATACATATATATTCTTAAAATCCATACACAGTTGGAAATTCTGCATATTTTATAGTAGTGTGTTGCAATCCCGGTCAATCTATTAGGAATACTAGGCACATGCTGGTCTTACATTCTAATAGGACATCTTGCAGGGACAGAATAGAATAGAATAGCAGAGTTGGAAGGGACCTTAGAGGTCTTCTAGTCCAACCCCCTGCTTAGGCAGGAAACCCTACACCACTTCAGACAAATGGTTATCCAATATCTTTTTAAAAACTTTCAGTGTTGGAGCATTTACAACTTCTGGAGAAAAGATTTCAACTGGTTATTTGTTCTCACTATCAGGAAATGTCTCCTTAGTTCTAAGGTTGCTTCTCTCCTTGATTAGTTTCCACCCATTGCTTCTTGTCCTGCCTTCAGGGGCTTTGGAGAATAGGATATGGCGAAGGTGTGTCCTAAAAATACCTTAAAGAAGTATTTTAAGATTCGTGGATTTCAATTCCCAGATTTCCCTAGCTACAAAACTATGTGAGTTTAAGTCTCGCCATCTTAAAGCTGCCAGAGTTTAGAAACATTGTTTTATAGGGCAAGGCTTAAAAATATCTACATCTGATATTCCTAGAGCTTGTGTGTTTCAAGATGTTGGTTTGCAGTACATAAAGAAAATTATGCCATCCCGGGAAGCCTGCAGGTATGTCTCTACAAAAGCCAATATAGTCACACAATGGTATGAAACATAACTCCACCTGTTTCTTTTTAGGTGTGATGCACTTAAAAATCAGGTGGAGTGTTGATCACACCATTGTGGTTGCCATTTTGGCCATACTTTCCAGACACCACTGGTGCTCCTTTGTAGCAAAACCAAGCCTTCAAAATGTGGATTCAGAATAAATGTAAATGATTATCAACTAATGTACAGTACACATCCTATAGCCTCTTTCTCACCTGCTGATGTCCCTGTTCCTTGTTGGCACACATTAATAATAGTCAGTTCACAACCCCAGCATAGCTGCTTCAGCAACGTGTTATCTTTTAAATAAATGGGGCAGTATTTTTATTAGGCCTTTCAAACTGTCACAAAAGAGCGAGAAAAATTTCAAGATCTCCAGAATTCCTCATCAGGAGGTGACTGTGACTAAATGAGACTTTAGGCTGCATTCTCAAATTATTATTTTTTTCCTTCCCTTCTTTGTCCTCTATCTGCTTAGCGCCTAGCCTGCTAAGAATCTGGGGGATAGCATTTATTCCCACCTTACTCAAAAGTAAGGAGTGGTTTGTTCGTACTAGTCTCCTAGCCAGAGGTGATATTCAGCAGGTTCTGACCAGTTCTGGAGAACCGGTAGCGAAAATTTGGAGTAGTTCTGAGAACTGGCAAATACCGCCTCTGACTGGCCCCGCCCCCATCTATTTTCTGCCTCCCGGGTCCCAGCTGATTGGCTGGGTCTCCTTTGGTTGCCCTGCACAGGAAAACGGAGCTGAAAAGCAGGTTAGTGGGGTAGGGAGTGAATGGAGATTTTGCAGTATCCTTCCCCTGCCACACCCACCAAGCCACGCCCACAGAACCAGAAGTAAAACATTTTGAATCTCACCACGGCTGCTAGCACTCTTTAAAATATGAAACTATCCACCCTTTGCCCCCTAAAAAAGTTCAAATATCCACATCAAATATGTAAATAGGTTAGATATTATGGAACTGTTATTTTTCTCAATAAAATATCATTGTGTGTATTCTTCTGGAAAAACACCTTTTACATCTGAAGTCAGGGAGAAAAGCAGATTTTTTAAAATCAAAATTTGGTTTATTTCACTCACTGGAACAAGATAGTTAGTCATAGAGGCATGGGGAGGGAGGAACAGTGTCACATGGATCATAAAATGAGGCACAGTGAGTGTGTCACAATGTCATCACTCAGATGACATCATTTTGTCATTGCATACACCATTAAGGCCTTGTACTGCATGCCAATGAATGAGAAAATCATACCATGATTGTGTATCCGGAGGATCTAATTTATGTGGTTTCCCTAGCCATTTCTTAAAAAAACTATTTGGAGTTCGAGATAGAAGAGTTTGTGTTAATGATTAGCACCAGCTTGGTTGTGAAATTAAGATCCCTGTTCTGGAATTGGCTATGTTTGCTAATCTCTTTGATTTCTTCTTGGAGAATATGTGTTTTTTGACTTCATGCAAATCCTAGTAATCCATGTTCTGTAGGATTAGAGCGAGGATCACCGAACTTGGCAACTTTAAGACTCATGGATTTCAACTCCCAGAATTCCTCAGCCAGCATGTCTTAAAGTTGACAAAGTTGGATATTATTATCATTATGCTCAAAGATGGGAGCCTAGCCACCACAGAATAGAACTAAAGTGCTGTTTCTCCCATTTCTTTTTGGACAATATTTGTGCAACCAACTCTTCTCTCCATGGACAGTTTCCCACCACAATGATGCTCCACAGCTACTGAACACCAGTGTTACCTCACGGTAGGCGAGGGGAATCAGATCTACCCAAACAGGTGTTTGCCTTGCCATAACAAGGATACTGGAAGCCAGGTTTCAATGAGATGGTTGATGGTTTTGTTCCATAGTAGAAGGAGATGCTTCCATTTGAAGTGGGCTCCTTTTTTCAATTGGTCTAAACCTTCAGGCAATTTGAGAAGTCGGCGTATATTTTGGCTGCATAAGGAAGTGTCTGGGGCCATTGCAGATATGTTTCCATAGAACTACATGGTTATGGTGATTAAACTCCAGGTTTCTCCTATGTGTATACTACAATATGTCCAAATAATAATGAATAGAATAGAAATAGAATAGAATTATGGTAGAATAGAAGAGTTGGAAGGGACCTTGGAGGTCTTCTAGTCCAGCCCCCTGCTCAGGCAGCAAGCCCTTTCCATTTCAGACAAATGGTTGTCCAGTCTCTTCTTAAAATCTTCCAGTGTTGGAGTATTCACAACTTCTGGAGGCAAGTTATTCCACTGATTAATTGTTCTGACTGACTATTGTAATAACAAATGTTATCACCTAACTGGAATTATTGAATAAGATTGGAAGATTGTCACTGATTCTGATATTCTTCCCAGTCCTGAAGCCACTGGTTCTCTTCATCCAGTGCATTTAATTTGATTGCTGAAGTATTCAGTTTTCTATCTCAGTTAATTCCTTCCAGAACTTAACCCACTTTAGGTAACATATTCTATACATGGGGCTTAAACTTAATACATCTAGCCAAATGGCCTAGATTCACACAACCTAGTGAAGCCACACAAAAACCAGTACTAGGATTAAAAACAACCAAGTTATTTTGTGTTACTGGTTAGATATATGTTTAGTGCTAGCCTAGAGTTGGAAGAGACCACTCAATCATCAAATGCACTTCCTGTTCAACCCAGGTGAAAATATGATCCCTATTAACTACCGTATTCATCTATTTTTCTCACCTACAACTGTTTAATAGCAACCTTGTGTGCTTTGTACACAAAGCGTGTTATCTGTCAAAAGAATATGGGTCCTGTGAATATCAGAGGACATACTGAAGCCTAGGCATGTTCAGGTAGAAGGTGAATGAAAGCATAAAATAACACACACACACACACCCTGGAGACTTGGCCAGGTAATAATTTTTTCAGCAGCTTAGCTATATTTCTAGTGAGAAGCAGGCATGGTGAGATGTGTGTGGATGGTGTCCAAAGACTCCCAGCTCCTTAGGGATTGAATCATTTGTGCAGGATCTGCTTGCATCCGCTGCTTTTGATTTCCTACTTTCCTCCCAAAACTGGATCCGATGTGCTGCTGCTCCATCTATTCAGGTTTCACCCCCCCTCAGCCTAAGAATGGAGGACACGCTTCACAAAAACTGGTTGAAACCGGACCCTTAATAAGAATGGGCAGGTGCGGTTCTCAAGTGGGAAGCGAAGAGCTTCCGTCTTTTGTGGATCCAGGACCAGTGGTTGAAATGCTACCGGTTCGGGCCGGTTCAACCGAACTGGTTGCAAAAATTGCTACCGGTTCAGCCCAACCGGTAGTTTTAAAAAGCTCCGGTGATCAGCTGAGAGGATAAAGAACAGAAAAGCACAGGATCAGCCCTCCCACCTGCCCCTGCGCTTTTCTGTTCTTTATCCACTCAGCTGATCGGCGCGGCAGAGCCTCAGCTGGTGTTTGGAAAACGGTTTGCGCGTTAGGTGCACACAAGGCACGAAAGTGCGCGATCACCGAACCAGTACGGAAACTGGTAGAATCCCACCACTGTCCGGGTTGCACGCTGGAAAGAAGGGTCAGGAGCTGTCAGACCACAAAAATATTGCGGTAGTAGGGGATGTATTCAGTCAGGCATTGCAACTGTGCCGCTGTGCAGTGTGGGTTCCACAGTTCCGCTCAGTATTGGAATGCAGATTCCCAAGAAGTCTTCGCTATGACACAGCGAGCACTGAAGACGTGCTTATGTTCAGGTCTGCACCATTTGTCTGCGATGGACCTCGCCTGAAAGATGGCCTTTTTCCCTCAAATGCTTAGCAACCATGAAACGAGAAATTAAAACATGGCATAGGTTTAACCTGAGGTGATGCTCCTGGCTCACAAGTAGCTACCTTCAAGTCATCTTTGTCAGCATGGAGCTTAGGATCTCCCACCGGAGAAAGAACTTTTAACCTGGAACACAAGAGTGAGTAGATACTCTTCTTGGTATACTTCCTAGCTCAGTTTAATGTATGAGAAGGACAGGTTGGAAATGCTTGATGTCTCTAGATGGAATATTTCAGTGATTATTTTTTTTAAAAAAAAACCCTGCTTTTGGAAGGATAAGTTATACACCATAGTTCGTTGAGGCTTTTATCCAGCTGTAGTTTTCGTTCTGGACAGTAATGATGGACATTGTAGTCCAATTCATTGGAGAGCTGTCCACTGGGAAACACTACTTTATTTTGCCACAAATCCTACCCTTTCCTGTGTCAGTTATAACCAGAGAAATATCCGTAAGTGGTTTTTGTGGAGATGTCATGAGGGAATGTTAGAGAAGTTTGTCTAGACCAGGGGACTTCAGCCTTGGCAACTTTAAGACTTATGGACTTCAACTCCCAGAATTCCTCACCCAGCAAAGCTTCCAAGGCTGTATGTGAGAAAAATGGCCAGAAGTCACTTTTTTCCACATTGTAGCTTTGAAAGGTCACTAAATGACCTGTTGTAAGTTGAGGACTACCTGTATTTATGTCTTAAACAATTATTTTTAGTTCTAATTTCCACTTTCAGGAGACAGTTCCTTCCAAGATAGCTAGCAAGTAACATCAGTTATTACCAAACGAAATGACACAATCAACAATATCCAAATAGAACGAGATACTTGGCAGGGAAGGGCTGATAATGGGAGAAAATCGAGAGTGGAAAAGGACAATTCAGAATTAGGGGACTCTTCAATGTTGTTTTTTTCCCCTGTCTCCTTCTGCATATCTCCCTCCCTCAATGCAGATAACATAAAATATCGGTCTGGTGAAATACTGGGAACTACAGAAGTTGTGACTTTAGTTGGGGTCGTGATCTGACCCCAAAGCAGGGAGTTTTTAAAATAATGCTTAGCACCAGCTTCTTAGCATCAGTGTCTCCTTCCGCAGCATTTAGGCCTTAGTCAAAGGCTCCTATGCTTCTTTCTTTCTTCAGAATATTGGATTGGATATTCAGCTGCATTTAGGCCTTAGCCAAAGACTCCTCAAGAGATTTAGAAAATCATATATGGAGTAGAAAAAGGGGAGGGAAAATGTATTCCCTCCTCCTGTGCCAACCAAGTTGGCATATGTCATTGGCAAGGGATTCAGGAAAGCTTTTTTTAAAAATAATAATAAATAACGATACTACCACTAATAGATCAGCTCTGCTTAAAGTTCATAATTCAAGTATGCAGATGGTTCCCACAGAACATGGGGCTGGCCGTAGATTGAGGTGGCTTTCCAAGAGGGTTGGGTTGAGGAAGAAGAACCTGGCCATGGTGGCTACTAGGAAGGTGTTTTCTCATCAAACCTAGAGGGCAAAAGGGGTATTCAGCTCTATGGATCTTTGATGGGATGCATCAGAGCAGGTTTGCAGCAAGGGAGTTGCTCTCACAAATCAAAGAGGCTTTTAGAAATGGGAAAAGACTTCCTAAAATCCCGGAGCTGGTCGTGCCATCGCTCTTAAAACCCATGTTTCAGCCTTGTTTCCCTTTTCTCCAGTATTCAAGGGTAAAAAAAAACAAAAAAACAGCTGGGGTGCATAAAAGGGAAAGCTCTGAATAGC